AAATTTTTTTAAAAGTGAGTATTACAATTTTTATACCATGTGACTTGACTTAACTTTTTACTCAAAGCATTGTGTAGTATATTAAAAATTCATGTCAGCTTTTATTGGCAGTGCTTCTGTAAAGTCTTACTGAAATGGTGGCCTTTAATAAAACCACAATTTTCTGTGTCTGTTTTGCTTTCCTCAGCTCTGTCTCTTTATTTGGCCTATTAAAGGTCAGGTATGTGTAATCTCACTTTTCTTCGTTTTTCTAGTGTGTCTATCTAAGAGTCATGGGTCCCACATTAAAGACCCTGTTGCATAGGGTCTTTAATGTACCAAAAATATTTGAATGTATTTCCTAAAGCAAGGATTGCTTTCAGAGGACAATGAAAGAGTAAGGGATAGCTGATATCAGTAGTCTCCGTTTGTCATAGAATTCCTCAGACTGAGGGAATATTAGTGATATACTTTTTCCTCTACACATGCATATCTGTGAACATTGATTTTCACATAAAAGAAGCATTTTTCAGCTTTTTTTTTGATGTATTGGAATTACCTGCATCACTACTTTTGCATGCTGGAGTTGTTACTAAGTAAAATAAGGGTTATCTGAACACAATACTACCCCAGTTGATTTTATAGGTGGAGGGATTACCAAGTGACAAGGGGCAGGTATCATTTGCATTGATACCCTGCACAAAGGGGTTATTCTTTTCTTGGGTGTCATGAAGGAAGAAAGTGTGAGAATTCTTCACAATATACAGAATGGCATACATTTAGAATTCACGAATTGCTTAGTTCTGGAATTGTCTATGTATACTTTCAGACCTTGATTGACCTTGAATCACTTCAGAAAGTGAGACTGTTAATGATAGAACCACTGCACCTGCTTTTTCCCCCTGAATTTAAGGAGGCAGATACTACAAAAGTCTTTTCAGCTCATTAATGGATATGACAAAATAATGAAATAGGAAAATGTGAATGAATCAAAGGAAGCCACAGGGAGCTTAAAAAAATATCAGTGTATTGTCCCCCTTGGGCCACATTAGTATCTCTGTAGAGAATAACCTGGCCACTGTGCCTCAGGGAAAACATTAATTACACATAGTAATGTCCTGGTGCTGGAGGAGTTATAGGTAGCAAATTTAAAGCTCACATAGAAATTATTTCTTTTTTATTATTAACTAGTATGTACTATTAATTTAAGAAAAAATGCTTCAGTAAGGAAATGTGTGAATTTTTATTAGGTTTTTATTTTAGTTTCATTAGTAGCAGATTTGTTACTCTTTTTGGTAAGAAACTTGGTGTATTATCTGTTCTTTTCAAAAGTTCCTCCAAAAAGAGAAGACGCATTTTAAAAACCTTGTTACCAATAGAAATTTAATTGTGACTGTTCCTTGGAATACTTAAGTCTGATCAAAATTATTATGGATATTTGCTCCATAATTTTCATTTAAGAGTGCATGATCCGTTCAACATTTTGGTTTACAGGCTATTTTAAATTATTTCATATTTTATTAATCTTATTTTACTAGCTCTTATCTTGAAGCAATAATACTTAATGTCTTCACAGCTATACATTCCGATAACGACATATAGTCCATAAAATCCAAACTTAAATATATAACTTTTTGGTACTCTCATAGTGTTGGAAGAACTTTTAAAAGGATTTATACATTCAGATTCTTTTAATTGGAAATGGGGAAAGAAAATTTTGGTGCTAGTTGTGTACCAAATTTAGAATTACAGAGGTTTTTGCAGGCACTGACTTAGCTAATGCTGAAACTCATTTCACTTCATCAACAACCCTAAACTTGAGTATTACTATCATATTTGGGTATTTTTTTTTTTTTGATGTCTCACTACATTTATCAGAGGTGTTGAACTCACTGTGTAGCCCAGGCTAACTTCAAACTTACAGCAGTCCTTCTGCCTCTTGAATCCTGGAATTTTAAGTGTGGATCACCACACCCAACGTCTTGTCACCAGTTTCGCATGGAAATGTAGCGCAAGATGGCTAAGGTGGGTTAGATAGCAAGGCTCTGTTTCCTAATTCATATTTTCCCCTATATTCTAGATTGTCTTCCCCTATAGACCCAAATTCTCCCTTTTTGCATACACATTGTATAGAAGAGGAACATTATAGGGATAGTACAACACAAAGATTTAGGACCTGTCCTTTTAAAATGCACTCATTTAGAAATAAAACCTTTTTAAATTTCAAAACACACTTGGAAATCTTCATCAAAAAGAAAAAAAAAATGAAAGTGTAGGAAAAACATCATCACTTTTCCACATACAAGATCTTTCTTTCAACAATATTAACTCTGTAAACTACATGTTAGGACTGACAGCAGAACCAAGAAGTCAATTAGACTTTGATAACTATATTGAGTTAAAGCTGTGTTTAAATAATTAGAATTTACATATCATGTTACTTCTCAGAGTATTTGATTATCAAACTTGTGCAGTTCTATTCATATGGTGTTAGTAGCTTTTCATCACTGGGACAGAGTTACACAATTAATTTAAAAGAGGAAGGGCTTACTTTGGCTCACAATTTCAGAGATTTCAGTCCATGTCTGGCTGGTGCTGTTTTTCTGGGCCTGGGGTGGTGAGGCAGTATACATGGCAGAAGGGCAGGGCAGTACAAAGTGGCTCTCCTCAGGGTGACTGGAAGAAGGCTGAGCAAGAGACCAGGGACAAAACATTGTGCCCATGCCACATCTATGAACCACTCACTTCAACTAGGCCACACTTCTGAAATTTCCATCACTTTCTAATAATACCATCAAATTATGAATCTGTTCATGGATTATTAATCTGTTGACAAAATTAGATCTTTCATGACCTAATTACCTTCCAAAAGACTCACTTCTAAATACATATGCCCTTTGAAGCACTTTTAGAGTAAATGCATATCACCTACCTTAATAAAAAATAGATGAAACTTTTTTAGCAGAATTGGTTCATTAAAATGCCACAGCTTCATTATGATTTCAGAGTTGATATAAGAGTCCATTAAACACTTTTCAGAGGCACTGAGAAAATCTTTCATTGTCAACAGTTTAGCTCTTCACTCTAGCTTGTAGTAAGAACTTCAGAGAAAGTACTGTAATTAAATTTTCATATGTATATTAAAACATGTTTCTATCATAGTGTCTGGTTTCAAAAATGTAACTGAGATAACAAATGTTTCTAAAAGTGAGACTTTTAAGTTGAACAACAGTAGGGTTTGTCACAGTTTTTCTGAACTCAGACTGCTATAACAAAATACATTGGATTGACTGAAATAAATAAAAGTAATTTATTTCTCACAGCTCTGGAGTCTGGGAAGCCCAGGATTAAGGTGTTGCCAGTTTGGTGTCTGGTTGGAGCCCACTTCATGTTTCATAGACAGCTATCTTCTTGCTGTGGGCTCTCATGGTAGAATTAGCAAACAAATGTTAGGGGATCTTTTTATGAAGGCTGATTCATGAGGGGTTCCTTCTCATGACCTACTTGTCTTCTGAGGGCCCCACTTGATTAATGTCTTGTGTTTGGGGTTAGATATCAATGTAGGGATTTTACAAGGACATAACATTTTATCTACAGTAAACTTTTATGGTGTCTTAACACTGTTGCAATATGAATCTGATTTTTCTATAGAGTTGACAAGAGAATCTGATTCATTCATTGCAATTTAAATATATTGTTCTTAATTCCAAAAATATATCAAATCAAAGAAGTTGGTAGCTTATCATGTGCAAGGAACAAACCCCTACTAAATAATTGAAGAAAACAGGAAACCTTTCATTGTTAATTGAATACTTTTATAGACTGGTCAGGAATATAGATTGTCTATTTTTTAGACAGCATTTCTATTTACATTGTAGTTTACAAAGCCAATAATCTTAAAACCAATAATTCAAACAAGAGAAATTATGTAAATCAGGTATTTTGGGAGGAATAAAGCTTCTTCTATAAACATTGAACTAGAGATACAAGTTGACACTATGCTAGGATTATGATCAACAATCTTGTGTCTCTTCCTGAGTTAAACAGATATTTACAAATAGAAGGTATGTTTGGGCCTTGGAGTAACACATGTTCCCAGAAAGTTTGTGGGAGTCAGAACACTTTTATGTAGAATGCTTTAGCTGCTGAAAAGAAATATGGTTTTTTTTTGTTTGTTTGTTTGTTTGTTTGTTTTTGTCTTTTTCCTTTTTATCGGTACCAGGGATCGAACTCACGACTGCCTGCTTACAAGGCAGGCGCTTATGCCACTGAGCTAAATCCCCAGCCCCAGAAATATGTTTTGTAATCTAATCTGTAGTTAATGATTTCATGGAAGCGATTTTGGATGTGGTCTTTTTGTTATTAAAAGATATTAGAGTAATAGTATAAGATGATTGATATTCCATGATTTGTTATGGAATCACACTCTTATTTTGAAAGATATGTGTTCTTTGCTTATACAGCTGCAGTGATGAATGTGTCCTCTCCAAAGTTCCTAAAGTGGAAACTTAATAGCCAATGTGATAGCATTAAGGAGTAGACCAAAGCCTTTAGGAGGTGATTATATTATAAAGGTTCCTCCTTTGTGAATGGAATTAAAGTCTCATGGAGTGTTTCTTGTTCTTCTGCCAAATGAGGACATAGCATTCCTCTCCTCCTAAGACTCAGACAAAGAACTATTTTGGAAAGAATGACATGACCCCAGCAGGACTCTCAACCTGCCAGCACCTTGATCTCAGACTTCCCAGCTTTCAGACTATGAGAAATATATTTTTGTCCTTCACAAGTTACCCTGTCTCTTGTATTTTGTTGTAAAAACACAGTCAGTCTGAAATGACAGCCATTTCCTTTTAAATCCCTGGAAAAATCTGTCAAATTCCTAGAAATCTAAAAATAAAAACATGGAATGACCTAATTTCACATTTAGTTCAGTATAATCTTAAATAAGGCAATGTTCACTAGTAAAATGTTTCTTCTTCATTTGACATTGACCTTTATCTTTTTTTTTTTTTTTCTTTAAGTCTCTTGCAAGAAGGTTTTCTTGATAGTATCGAAACAGAGTATGAAGACTGGCAAAAATTCAGATGCTGACTTTGCTTCCTCTTGGAAACCAGCACATGGTGTGGTCACCCATTTGCACCAGTAATAACACCAGCAGAGTTACCAAGCAATCTTCACGTGGTGACTACTCATGCTCTTGGAGGGTAAGGGACGTTGCTATTGTGCCAGTAATCTGTACCTGGTCTGTGCTTGAAGCAACATCCTGATTAACATAAAGATGCTTATGTATCTGCTGTGATTTCTTAACTTTACTCTTCATTAGATAAGAGGTTTATCCCTGTGAGTGCCTGACAGCCTCCAAAAAGGAGCCTGTTGCAACCTGTTTGTCACCTCACTTTGCATCCTGACCTTGTTCCTGTTCCATGACTAACTCTGCTGGATCTTGGCATTAACTCTGGCCAAGACCTGATGACTGTTCTCTGAAATGTCCTTCAATTCTTTTGGAAGGGGAACTACAAATAACAGTCATGGGAATGTAACAGCTCACAGAAGCCAGAGTGACAAAGAAAAGCATAAAGGGCAAGCAACAGCATGGTGCCTAAAGTAACTTGCGTGTTGCTTTAGCACCCTGGGCTTGTAACCTTTGGTATAAATAAAGTAAGCATTTCATTGTACACTATTTTACTTGGCATAGGCCTGAAGAATTGGAGTCATTTTTTAAAGTGTTTACTGATTATGGAAGTGTCCTGACAGTACCTAAATAATGCCATTTTGTGGAAATTCTTTCTTTTGCTTCTGACCAAAGCATTATAATTTACTTTGAGAAATCAACACAACAAGAATACCAAAATTATTTGTCACACAATTCAGAGGAGCCAGTAAAAGTGTCTAAATTTATATTTACTGTCTTTAAAGTCTTTTTCTTGAATTTATTTCAATTTTAAATGGAATTCTGTTTTTTATTGAAAGATGAGATTTTTTCACAATTGTACAAAATTATGAGTTGCATTTTAAGCCATTTGCTGGTGGCTGTGCAAAAATAATTTATGATCTTTAAGGCTCTGCTGTTAATTCAATTTCTTAGTTATTCAGTTGTCTCAAGTCAGCTGTTTGTGAGACTGAAAATAAAGACTGTTCAAGAGAATGGGGAAGGAGAACTGGATCATATTTATTTTAGAGAGAAGTATAATTTTGGAAATTAAGAGTAATCTCAGCATTTTTAGAGAAAACATGTGATATGATGAAAGGTATGGCACATGTAATTTATTCCCAGAGTTTTCTCTAAATGCATTATTAAAAAGGTAGCTTGGAATTCATTTCTCTAGTATACTTAATAGCATATTTTCTAGTCTCATTACCCAGTTAAAAACCATATTTTCCCAGAATAATTTATTTAAGATAAGCAACATTTAGTAGGGTTTCATTGTCATATGTTGTGTCACAAATGCATTTGTTGATAGGAGACTGGCTAAGGTTATTGAATAATTGATTTAGATCTTACCACTAAATAATATGAATAATATTTTAAGTCAGTGTTCTTGTGTGAGGACAAAATTACTTCTTAGCATTATTGTTAGGCCTTTTACTCCATTAAATAGAAACTAAAAAAATAGTCTGACAGTATTATTGGTGAATTCTGCAAATGTTTAGTCATGTTAGTTAAATTAGTTAGTCATATTAGTTAAATTAATCCACATTTGTAAGGTAAATCATTGTTAATGGTATGTACACTGTTACCCATCATCATTAATACACTAGTAAGATGCATGAGATCTAACTACTGTTCGTAATGAAACAAAGCCTAAATTTTAAAATTTTCAAACATACTTGATACGGATACTGTCTTTATAATTTCAAGGCTTGTGGTTTTTATGGGACAATGTTTAGGAGCTATTGCCATGAAGAAAGATCTGTACTTTTATAGGCAAACTAGAATTTTAAAAGTACTTTTTATAAAGTGCTACATATACTTAACGAGTATCTAAATTTTTAAATTCACTTTCAAAGTCCTAAACATATATAATCAGGTGTTCTACATTGCATGTGAAAATACATGGCTACTATTCTTGTTTTCATAATAAGGTGGTAAACATAGAATTTTAATATTTATTAAAATGTTAATATTGATGCAACAAAGAGTAATGATAAATGGAATTATTGAAGTGAGAATTGTTAAGGCCTGGGGTCTGGCATAATAAACAAAAAATAACAACTCCAGTTTCATCCTTAGGGACTCAACACTTGCTGTGTGAAATTGCTGTGGTTTATTCTGTTTATTATTGTTATAATTACTTTATTTTCCCAAACTTTGGATTTTAGTCATTAGAGAAAGCATTTTATTGACATCTTAAGTTTCCCTGTTTCTTTGGATTGCCACATATATAGAGGTAAAACCCTAAAAGTTTGAAACTCTTTTCTGATAAAAGGTTTTAAATGTCAGCCTTATTATTATAGGTAATATTTCCCCAGTTTTGTGTAATTCTGAGGATTTTTGCTTCACGAGAACCTGACTTTTAGTATATATTGCAGAATGTTATGAAAAAAAATATTGAAAACATTCTCTGACATTTGTAACCCAAATTATTTTCTTTTATAACTATAGTATTTTAGCTGTTGCTACACAGCGGTATTCCTTATTTATCAAGAACATTTGTATGTTTATCTGCCATACAACATACCATCCTGAAATATTTTTTCCTCAACATTTTCTAAAGGTTTCTTTTATATAGAAGGTATTCAAACATCTATTAAACCATGTTGCTAACATAAATTGCTATGTTATTATATATTTCAAAATGTGGCCAAATTTAATAGTTTTGTACCAGTTAGGTTCTGTATAATCTCACTTCATTCTTTCTAGCATGAATGAGTCCCCTAATATTAAACAACTGTATTAAATAATAGGATAGAAAAGATTAGTAAAAGTCACCTGTATTCAGAATCACAAGAGCAAATTTCCTAATTTCAACTAAGTTTTCCAATGTAGAGAAACATCACACTGAAATTTCCCTACTGCAGTCTCTTTCAACACCAAGGTATTGAAGATAAAAATTGTGTAAAACTGGTTATTTTAAGGTAGACTGTGTCCTTTCAGGTAAAAACAGTTGTCTTAATTGTTCATTACTCACATTCTTAAGGTAAGTCATTATCCCTGTTTAGCAGTTGGTCTAGTGGTAATGACATGTAGATATTAAGATCAAGGACTTCGCAAAAGACATGGGGGTCACTAACCTCATCATCTGCTTCTTTCTGCTTGAAAATCACTTTTTGCCCTCTGATATTATGAAAATTACCTATTTGCAGTGAATTTGTACATTTAAGTTAGTATTCACTAACAGAGACGATGTTTACTTGGAAAATGGTTTCATTTTCAGTGTAGAGTTTTATGCTGATATAATCTGTGATTTTTCCATTACCGAATCTTCCATATGCAATGTGATTATAAAGAAAATGCCATGGACGCATTTTTTCCCTCACTACTATAAGAACATATTAGATACATCTAGAGAGGGCACTGAACATTTTAGAGTGACTTTCTTTAACATAAAGGTTTTACCAAACACTTATTTCAGTGGACATTTAGCCTTGGCTTAATTCAAAATAAAAGTCATAGACTTTTCCTTTTCTGATTCAAACAAAGGCATAATTAAATTCCAGATGTGCTTTAAAGAATTCAACTCAGAATTGTGGATTATGTTACACAATTTCTCTACATTACTTTGAATTGTATGACCCAAGGGAAAAGAATTTGTTTAGCCCACTTTTTTTTAGCTCACTTTTTTTGTATAGTGAGTTAATCCTGTTGAATCTGTGAAAAGTGATTATATAGTTTCAATTAAAAAGTTTTCATGGATAGAGAACCCATCAACTTATAAGCAGCCCACTTCTTCTTAGTCAATTTTATTTATTCAAAAAATTTTAACATTGGCTTAAGAACAAAAGTGCTTGTGAACTTCTTTGTGTTATATTTTTATTAATCTATGAATTAGAAACATTTGTACCAGGAAGTTAGTGTCTGCCTTCTTGATAGAAAATTATAAGAGATTCTGATTCTCTCTGGATCCATTGAAAGCAACCATCCATACATTCTGTCCAGCATAGTGGTGTTTCAACATAGCGGTGGATATGTTGATACTTGTGTAAAGGGAAGAAGCTTCTGATCAGGGAGGAGAGTAGAGCATGTGCATAAAACCAGCCAATCTAATAATGACGTAAGTTTCTTGAGTGCCAACGCTCCAGGCAATGTTTTAAAAACTGTGTGTGTCAACTTGTGTAACTGAAACACGTAAGATAGAGATCATAATTACTTCTGTTCCTTTTTCTTTTTTTGACCCTAAGAGAACCTGGGCACTAGCGCATTAAAATTCATGTTGGGGAGAGTAGATGCTCTAGTCTTATTCCACGTTTTAACATTTGAACCGTATGTTTCGTGCATCTAATAATTTTCTTTTTGTATCAAAATTGTTAGTCTGCTCACTGCTTTACTGTTATTTTTAGATTACAGTGATCTTGATGAATGAACCATTTAGATGTGTATTATTTTGATTCAGTTTTTAAGAAACATGCACATTAGTGTTTAACATTTAAGTTTTATTAAAATATGAGTAGTACTTTTTTTCTATATGAAAGCTAGGAAAGTAGTTTTCTAATCCTGTCTTCATTTTTGTGTGCATATGTATGTGTTGGAGGAGGAATTGGAAAATGGGGGATTTAATGTTTATTTATAGTAAGTCACTGATGGAAATTTGTTTTTGTTTTAGGAAATTATGTATTTTAATTATATTTGCAGTATTTCCTCATCTGTTTTTAACTCTAGTTTTTCCATTTCACCAGCCAAACATACCAAGCTTTGATGGTATAAAAGGACTGTGTGCCTCCCACTACTTTATTGTGTGCTCAAGAAAGGAAAAGATAAATTGTTAAGTGAAGTAGAAAACTATCTTTTAATGAATTGTAAACTGACATTAGAAGCATCTATCTAATTACATGTGCAAACATCATTATCAACCTCCTCCTGTGTTGCTGGGCTACTGTGTGAGCCACTGTCATCTTCTATCCAGCTGTCCCCTTCCTTGCTCTTGATCATTTAAAACACAGCTTAGACATTTGTCAAATATTTCAGTCATACCGTATATTGGTAAAATAAGACATAGTTGTGATTTCTGTCATTAGATAGAATGGAATAGGTGATAAATCTTGTGTC